CCTGGAAAAGGGGCCGGGAGCCGCTGGCCTTCCCCGTCCACCTGCAGCGGCAGGGCTACCAGACCTTCTACGCTGGCAAGTACCTCAACCAGGTAACGCCCCGGGGCCGCGCCCCGCCACACAGGGCAGCCTTGCCCAGAGCCCCACCCCGGCGGGCACTGAGGGGTGGGGGAGAGCCAGGGTGCCTGGGTCTGTGCCGAGCTCTGGGAGTGTAGAGGGGCCTAGTGGTTAGAGCCAGGCGGGCTGGGAGCCAGGACTCCTGGGTTCTCTCCCCAGCTCTAGAGGGGTTTGGTTAGAAAGGAGGGGTCTAGTGGTTAAATCTGGGGGCTGGCCTAGACCGTCGCCAGGTTTCCCTGCGATGGAGAGTCTTTGGGGTGGGGGTTTGCTGCCTGCCCCCTCTGTCTGCGGGCCCGAAGGGGTGGTGCTGCTGGGCACGCCTTGGCCAATCGCCTCCCTGCTGCAGCCCGAGCGGCTGGCAGGGACCCCAGTGCCCAGCAATGGACCAGGGGCCTTCCAAGGGCTCTTCAGTGCCTAGGACTTTGCCCGGTGGTTTTGGAGCCAGGACTCCTGGGTTCTATGCCCCCTCTGGAAGGGGAGTGTGGACTAATGGTCAGAGCAGGGGGGGGATCTGCCCTGCTGCTGACCACACGTGCAAGCCTGCACACAGCATGGCCCTCTCTGCCTCAGTTTCCCCCATGGAACATGAAGCTAATGCCCCAGCCTGTGTGGGGTTGGGGCGATGTCTGGGAGGCTGCGGGTCACTGTGTGGATGGGGCCGTGGAGTGACTGGGCTGGGGGCAGTGGGCGTGTGTAACAGAGTCTCTCCCCTTGCAGTACGGACACCCCGCGGCCGGGGGAGCTCAGCACGTGCCTCTGGGCTGGAGCTACTGGAACGGCCTGGTGAGTGCCAGCCCTGGCTCCTGGCGCCTTCAGGCCGGGCCCAGGCGGGCTCCTGCTCCAGTCGGGGCGATCAGGTGTCGAGCTGCAGCCCCCCCAAGTCTCACAACCTCCTGGGGGCTGGGTTGGGCCCTCTGTGCTGTAGCCCCTGTGTGGCCCTGTCTGTAGCCTCGGCGTGGGAGGGGCACCCAGGAGCCAAGGTGATGGGCGGTGGGGACTGGCCCGGATCTGTTCTCCCAGCCTGCGTGGGGGGCACAGGTGGCTGCAGGGGGGTTGGGGAGGAACAGTTGCCAGTTGAACTCCAGTGTCCGGGCTAAATCGAACCAAAGAGCCGCACTTTGCCTCTCGGCGCCCATGCCCCGTGGGGCTGCTCCTGCCGCCC